CTCTCAATCAGGTCCCTTTTAAGAGAGCCAAAAGTAGGGTTCCCCTAATGATACTACCTAAAACCCGTAAACCCTAAACCATGAGCCTTATGTCAAGCTCACAGCTCAGGAAACTCGGCAGTTTTTGATCTAGCACCGCGCTTCTGTGACAGAGCTCCATGCAGGTTGCAGAGCTCTGCCGAAATCGACGGCAGTGCCAGTCAGTGGTGTAACGACGGCATCAGAAGTACTATACTACCCGAAGCCCGAAAGACTATCAACAGCAGCAGTGTTCCTAATGTAGGAACCTGATTAAGAAACCCTGGCCCTATAACCCCAATATATTAGAACTCATACGAAGAACCCGAATAAAGGCCCACAGTTTCGTAATCAGGTTCTTACATCAGCGACCCCAATCCTAAAACCCTATATAACCCTTATATATCCCTTATATAATCTCAAATATTAGGTAATTATTCAGGTTCCTACATTACAGACCCTAAACCCTAAACCCTAAACAACCCACATATAGGTACTTTAAGGGGCCAAAGTTCAAGTTCGGCCTTCCGAGGCAGCTGCGCTGCCGCCGCAGCGCGCGAGAAGCCGGCCGAGCAAGGTGCCTGCACGATGCCCTCGGGGCCTCGGGGTTTAGGGTTTAGGGTTTAGGATTCAGGGTTTAGGGTTTGGGGCCGGGGTCAAGGTGAAGGTTTAGAGTCTCAGGGTTTAGGTAACCAACAGCCTAAACACCCGTAACAAAGTAGTACAACCCGAATCTAAACCCGAAAAGCCCCTAGTTAGGCTTCCCGAAACCGCTAAAACCCCTAAACCCTGAACCCTACATCCTTAAACCCTCAACCCTAAACCTTAAACCCTAAACCCTAAGTCCCCTAGGAGCCCTGAACTTTCCTGCTGACCTCTGGCAGGTCAGCACCGCGGCAATCCCGTTCCCGGGCCGGGGAAAGCTGAGGCCGTCGGTTAGAAACTTTAGGGTTTAGGGTTTAGGTTTAGGGTTTAGGGTTTAGGGTTTAGGTTTAGGGTTTAGGGTTTGGGTTTGGGTTTGGGGTTTGTTTGATTGTAAAGGGCTTGTTGATATTCTGGAAGTTTATAAGGGGCTTGATGGGGTTTACAGAGCGGTGTTGCAGTTTGTCCTTTATCATGTTTTGGGTGGTGGGAAAGGAACTCAGAACACTCAGAAGAGTACGAGCTTATTTTAAACATGTAGCCTGGTCTTTCGCCGTGGCAATAATGGCAACAGAACTCTGGCTACTGCTCAAGGAAAATGTCCAAATTACAAGAATATACTGTCAAGAATGCTAACTCGCGCAAGCATCACGGCAACTGCAATAGAAACAGTCCGAATTTTATGATGCTATGGTTCCTGTCGTCAAGTAGGACATCTGAATCTGGTGTGCTCCAGGAGATATTGCGGTGCATAAGTAAGTATGTCTATGGCTCAATGTCATGCTGTGACATGTCATCGTAGAGTGTACAGGCATACATCATGCTCATATTCTCGGAGGCGAGAAGCACCACAGGAGACAAAGAAGAATGATAGCAAGGGTCTTTGCTCAAGTCACACCTCCGATTCGTCATCAACGTCTTCGGGTTGTGAGTGGGTTGAGATCCCTTTGCTTGCCAAACTGAACCTCTCCCTGAAACCTTCACCTTAAGCCTTACACCCTAAACCCTAAACCCAAGTCCTACTGCTCCGGGAACCTTAGTCTCGGCGCGGAACCATGTTTAAGCATACTCCAAACATATTGAAATCCTGAAGCACCGAGCCCCAAACCTAAAGACCCTCAATGTTTTTCTCATGATAAGTATCATTGTTGTTATTATTCTTGTCCTTCTTAATCTTCTTTATCGGTTTAATCTTAGCTCTTTCCTCGCCTGATTTTGCTGTGAACTCTGAACTCCCCAGCTCCAAAACCCAGTTCCCCTGAATCCGGAACCCATCCCAGCCTCCCAACCCCAACCCCCCCCAGGAAGCCCAAACTCCATGTCAGGGTCTGATACCCAGCAGTCATACCCCTTGTCGTCCCCAGACACTTATAGTACACGCCGCTGTAGTGAACCCCGAATTGCAAAACTGCTGCAACAAACCCTGTCCACACCCTACAAACCCCCCAGAAACCTCCACACTCGAAACACATTCCCTGACAAAACCCTTCTAACATGTTCAAACCCTAAAACCCCCCAAAAACCCCCACACTACCCTAAACCCTAAACCCTAAACCCTAAACCCTAAACCCTAAACCCTAACCCTTCTAACACACTAACACCCTGTAAGCCCAAACTCTCTTCGGAGACCCCAGCGGCTGGGCGCCGTTGCGCCGGCGCTGAACGGCGGCACCGGCTCCGGCTTGCCAGGCGGGCTGTTAAGGATGTGGGGTTTAGGGGTTTCAGGGGTTGAGGGTTTAGGGTTTAGGGTTTAGGGTTTAGGGGTTTAGGGTTTAGGGTTTAGGGTTTAGGGTTTAGGGTTTAGGGGGTTTAGGGGTTTCAGGGGTTGAGGGTTTAGGGTTTAGGGGTTTAGGGTTTAGGGTTTAGGCCATACTGGGGATCCTACTATAATTCAAGGTCTATTCAAGGGTTCCTCGGCTGAGGGCTTTGGCTTTGGATTTGTGCAGATGTTGGGGTTTAGGCGCTTTGGGATTTACAGGTTTTGGGCGTTTCGGGTTCCTCTAAGGGTTGCTGGGGAGGTAGTTTCAGGGATCCATAAGCGATCCAAAAAAAGGGCTTAAATCCTAAACCGCCTGAACCCTAAGCTCCATGTATACGGATGTGTATCTTTTAGGGCGGGTCTGAGAGACCTCACCCTTTCTTACCTTGGAGCCCTAAACCCCTAAACCTAAACCCTAAACCTAAACCCTAAACCCTAAACCTAAACCCTAAACCTAAACCCTAATCTAAACCCTAAACCCTAAACCCCTGAATCCCAACCCCGCACCCGAGACCCCGAGACGACTGCAGTCGGAGGCACCAAAGGAGCCGCCGTGGTTCTCCAGGAGCTCTGATGCTTTTAGGATGCGCGAGGCCCTTCTGAGGTTTTGGGGTTCAGGAATTTAGGGTTCCTAGATCCTCCATCTGCCCTCTCTTAGACCCTAAATACCCTCTATTTGAGGGTAGCGAATCGCAGATCTCTATAGACATATGCCTGGCTGGTTAAGCTTTTAGGATGCACAGGGCCTCTAGGTTGTTGGGATTCAGGAGTTTAGTGTTGCCGGGTTTCGGCTTTAGGAATGTAGGATTCGGGGCGTAGGGTTTTGGGGCTCGTGGCTTGGGAGGATTGGCGATGTAGAAGTGAGTGTGCGGGGTTGTAGTGTTCCACCCGGCTTTCTCAGCTGGGGTCAAGGTCGGGATACCTTTGCGAGCACTTCTAGTGTGAACCTTGGAGTTACGTGCGGGGTTTTGAGAGTTTAAGGATTAACCTTTGGGGAGTAAGGCGTGACATCTCAACCTCAAAGGTTGATGTCTACGAATTACGATGTGGCACTCAGAAGATGAGTGACTCTGTCTGATCTGGTGAAGAGCCCACTAGCAAGATCCGTATCCGTTCAAACAACAAGGACCCCATGATGGGAATCATCCGAGTTTTATCAGAAACTCACGGATGGGCATTGCCCTGCTTGCGCACGAAGTCCGAAAGCAAGGACCAAAATACAGCAGAAACGCGCATCCTAGCCTGACCTCGCTAGGCACAGGCGCCCGGAACCTTGAAGCCATAAGTAAAGACCCCAGAGTCCCAAAGCGAGACACTCAGCCCTGATGGAACCCTTCCTTTTCGAAAAAATCCCCGGACCTCATGACAACCGCAAGGGCCCTGCTGTCTCATTGAAGCGCAGGAGCAGTGGCGGAAGGTGAATAACAAGAGTGAGCCGGATGAGTTCCGGGTCACCATACGCTGGGGGCCTACTAATGTAGGAACCTGGTCACATTTTGGATAACCTGGTCTATGGTTAGGGTCCTGAGATAAGACAACGAGCCCCGAATCCCAAGCACTGAAAACCCCAAGCCATGTATAATTCAGAGCCCAAAAATCGGTTTTGGATGAATTCGAGGCTATCAAAGGGCCCGAGATCCCAGCGCCCAAAGGTGTGATCCCCATCATCATCGCCCATGGGTCGCCGGCCTCAGCCATGAGATGCCAGCAAAAGCGGTTTAGGGTTTAGGGTTTAGGGTTTAGGGTTTAGGGTTTAGGGGCTTGAGAGTAGCCCGAGCGACTTTCGACCTAGGGGCGTCGGATCGAGGGTTCGGGGAGTTTACTTAGTCCCCCCAAACCCAACCCTTTAAACTTTTCCGGGTTCTTATAATTTTTTGTGGCCCCCAAACCCAACCTTTAAACTTTTCCGGGTTCTTAGAATTTTTTGTGGCAACGTGAGAGTTTAGCCTTTATTTTCCCTGGCTTGTTGGTGAAGTAAGTATTGAGGGTGCAGGCGGTTTAGGGTTTAGGGCTACCATAAGAGCAGCGATCGAAAGATAGCAGGGCATTGGGCCAAGGACGATTGATCCCTGAGAATAATGCGGCCCAAAAAGGGTTTAGGGTTTAGGGGTTTAGGGTTTAGGGTTTAGGGTTTAGGGTTATGTGTTCAACACCGTATTAGCAGTGCTTGTGTTTATGTGTGTAGCGAATGTTACGTTAGCACTGCTACAGCTCTCATCACCATAACAGTCGCCTTCCTTATCACAGGTAGTATCACAAGTAAAACTACGGATAGTCGTCGGGAACGGGCCGCAGTTTCACTGCCTCAGGCGGAAGCGCAGACCCAGAACCCATCTTCCTTAAAGCCACACAGGCCGCAAAGCCTTAAACCCGAAAATCTCCAATCCCCGACCCCAATAATGGAGGGGCCCAAACAGTCTCCAGTACTCTCTTGGGAGTTCCTTACTGTTACTTTTTGATTATATAGAGAAGAGCCCTCAAGCTCTAAGTCAAACCCATCGGGAACCCCATGAGGCCCTTAAGTCTAAGGTTGAACCGATGGGCCCCTAGCATGGGCCCTTCACCCTGGGATCCCTATACACCTAACATACCCTATATGTACCCTTAAGGGTCCCTAGAAAGGCCTAAGGGCCCATCCCTAAACCCTAAACCCTAAGCATTAAGCCTTAAACCCTAAACCCTAAACCCAATCATATTCGAGGCCCATAATTAAAAAGCCTTCGATGAAGGGCAGCGGTGCTCAGGATTTGGTCCTCCCTCGTCGTAGCTTTGCATCTCCTCACTGGCTGGCGAATGTGCTTGGCTCAGAGAATTGGGGATTGGAGAGTTTGGGGGTTTAGGGTTTAGGGTTTAGGGGGGGTTCTTTTCAGGGATTCTAGGGTTTAGGGTTTGAGGTTTCGGGGCTTCCATCAGGGAAATTTGTTGGATTTGGGCAGTCAAGGTGGAGGCTTTTCGGGTTCAGGCATGCGGTAAGTACCTGTGTCCGGGAACTTTCAGGGCTCAGGGATGTTTGGGTTTACAGCCTCCACCGGGGCAAGCTAGAAACTGCCAGGGTTTCCCTAAACCCTAAACCCTAAACCCAGGGTTTCAGAACGCCACTCTTGTATGCTTCCTCTTGCCAGAGTGGATGCCGCTTCCTGAGAAGCTCACGTAGTGAGAGCTTTGGAGCCGTGCCTAGCTGTTACAAATGGTTTACGGTTTAGGGTTTAGGGTTTATAGCCCCTTGCATCTATTGACCCTGACAGCGGCGGAGTGTAGTGGATCAATGACCCCGGCTGAATACGTCTAACAGGGGGGCCTGGAGAAGCACAACAGGGGTTTGATCAGGTTCTTTAGAGCTGGATGGAATAGAGTTTTGGATACAATCTAGTTTATTTCCACGAGGGACTACAAGGCAACACTTCCATTCATTTTTCAAACCCCCATACGACCCTTCAGTTTGCAAGCCTATGAATCATTAGAATAGGGTTTTGGGGCCCATTCGACTATACTTAGAATAAAGAACCTGCAAAATAGTATAGGTAACTATCTCCAGCCCTGGGCTCCAGCAGTCTTCAACCCTACATCTAGCCTTCGAGGAACAACCCTTCGATCATCCACCCGCTCTTGGTTGGAGCGGGCACTTGTCAATGGCGCACCTGCATGCTCATTCCTACCATACTCCCGATCGTCAATGCTAGGGCCGCTAGGGGCTAAGATTATGTTTCCTTGCGGTACCGTCATAGTCACCGTTAAGGGGGAGTTTGTGGCCATGACGATACCAGTGCCACTATGCTTACGGTTTCACTGCTACTCCTCTTGTCATGGCAGCTTCATCGACTTGAGCCTGGGGTTCAGGGGTTCTTGGGGCAGCACGTCTTGGCCGAGTCGTCGTTCATGTTATGGACGTGTTTTCGCGCGCGTGCAAGAGTTCTGTAGAGTCTTATCGGGGTTCTGAGCTTTCTCTCGGCTTTTCCGTAACGTGGCATCTTTTGCGCTTATTCGTACTCGCCGGCGTGCTCACAGATTTTCAATGCCTGAACGCTGCTTCCTCTCCACCACAGCCCCAACTCCCACCATCGACATGACATTGAGTACTTATCAGCTGCAAGCCTCAATGCCAAACCCTGGAGCCCCATGCTGAAACCCTATAATGTAAGGGGCCTATATAATTACCTATAGTATTTTTTGGGGGGTCCTTATTATTATTATAGTATACTTATACCCCCAACACCTTATTCAATTGTAGTATATAATTATTATACCCCAAAACCCTATGCTAATTATTCAGGCCCCTACATTAAACCAATCCGAAGATCCGCGGAGAGAAGAGTTCGGCACGGGTAAACCTTAAACCCCTAAACCCTAAACCCAGAACCCCAAACCCCTAAACCCTTATAGATCCCTTTAAAGGAACCCTAAACCCCAAAACCCTAAACCCTAAAACCCCAAAACCCCTAAACCCCTAAACCCTTATAGATCCCTTTAAAGCATTTAAAGGAACCCCTAAACCCCAAAACCCTAAAAAGCGAGGAGTCCTCGGCCTGCTCCTGGCCTTCCGCACCAACCAGGCGCGTTCGGTTTTCAGCGGCTTCGGGTTTAGGACTTTAGGTACTTTAGGGACTTTAGGGGTTTAGGGTTTAGGGTTTAGGACTTTAGGGACTTTAGGGGTTTAGGGTTTAGGGTTTAGGGTTCAGGGTTTAGGGGTTTAGGACTTCAGGGACTTTAGGGGTTTAGGACTGGGTTCCTTTAAAGGGATCTATAAGGGTTGCTTTAAAAGGGATCTATAAGGGTGTAGGGGTTTAGGACTTTAGGGACTTTAGGGGTTTAGGGATTTAGGGGTTTAGGGGTTAGGGTTTGTGGGTTAGGGATTTAGGGGGTTTAGGGGTTAGGGTTTCTGGAGTAGGGATTCAGGGGTTTAGGGTTATGGGTTTAGGCAGTTTCGGAGTTTAGGAACTGGGCCCAAGCCCTGAGAACCAGACGCTCCCTAAACCAGAACCCCAAACCCCGAAATTTTGCGGCCTGCACCCGACACTGAGGGAACCATTATGAAAGTAAAGTCTATACCTTTTTTCCACCTGGTTTTTGGGGGACCTGTTCCTTGAGGGAACCACTATGAAAGCAAAGTCTATAGCTTCAAAGTCTAGGCCTCCACCTCCGACACCCCAGGCCTACGAACGCCATTGGAGCTGTGCCAAGCAGCTCACGGAGATGTGTCGGGTGCTGCAGACCATGCTCAGGCCAGCTCGGGGTGCGTTGAGGGCAGTTCGCTGCTTGGTGTAGGCTCTTGGGTTTAGAGCTTGAGCATTCCAGGGCTTAGGGTTTAGGGGTTTCTTTAAAGGGATCTATAAGGGTTCCTTTAAAGGGATCTATAAGGGTTTAGGGGTTTTGGGTTCTGGGTTTAGGGCTTCAGGTCAAGATGCCCCCCTTATAATACTTATACATATAACACTGCGCCCCCGCCCTGTTGCGATGGATACGGCCCCCACATTGCAAGACTTGCTTGTTCTTGATATGCCCGCTACGTGCACTGTTTGGTTATTTGTTTTTTATTTATGTAGAGAGCGAGAGAGAGACCGAGATATCATGCTGTTCCGGAGGCAGGTTCCTGAGCTTGATTAGGCGATTTAGTCTTTTCGGCTCCCGCTGGCAGGCTCGAAACTTGAGGCCAAAGGTAGCTTAAAGACAGACAAAGCGGCCAGAAATGCTTCGGAGTCTAGCAGTTTAGGAGTAATTAAACACCCTCAGAACCCTCCATCCGGGACCTTGTAGGATTGAAAGAGGTATGCATCCCATCTTTCCCGAGATGACTGGGCCGCACACCCAGAGCTTTCAGCTGTCTTCAAGAGAAAGGGGGAGGGAGGGTGGTAAACCCTAAACCCTAAACCCTAAACCCTGGGTTTAGGGTGGGTATCGGGTTATGTTAATGGGTTGAGGGACTGTGGGATCTGTTTTATATGGGTAGTTCTCTAAATTAGGGTCCCGTTTTTAGGTCCCCAATATAGACCCTGATTTTGAAAACCACCCATATAGGATGCTGGGTGGAGAGAGGGTTGAGAGATTTTCAGTTTAGGGTTTGGGGGTGTCTTTTAGTACTTGTGAGGGGTTTAGGGTTTAGGGTGGGTATAGGGTGATGTTAAAGGTTGAGGGATTGTAGGATCTGGTTATGTAGGATGCAGGGTGGAGAGAGGACTGGGAGATTTTCAGTTTAGGGTTTGGGATTTCTCTTGGTACTTGTTTGGGGGGGGAGGAGGGCCGGTGGTCCTTTAGAAGAGGGGATTTGTAGGTCTGGTTCTTTCAAGTCAGGGCCTCTCCAAGGCGGACACTTCCATGTGGGTTCATGAAACCCTTTTGGGTGGTTGTCAAAATTATGGTCCCTTTTGGGGTACCCTAAATATTAGGTGCCGTATTATAGTAAGGACCCAAAAAAGGACCATAATTTTGACAACCACTCACATAGGAATGAAAAGCAGTACAGGTGGCCCAGATCAGCAGGGCCCAGAGGTCCAAAAAGCCTTGTTTGTACGAGAGATTCCCTCATCACCCAAACCCTGCCCCAAAAGACTATGGAGCCCCAAAGACTATGCCCTAAGGCTCAAGGCGTAAACCGTCAGCATGCCATGTGCATGTGTGTATATACGTGTGCATGCATGTATGTATGCCTGTATAGGTAGGTAGATAAATAGGCAGAGGTGTAGACAGCTAGATGGGCCCATAGATAGATGGAGGTTTGCCTTTACCGGTATACCTACCAGGGGGTATCTGTTCCCTAAACCCTAAACCCTAAACGCTAAACCCTAAACCCTAAACGCACGCATGGACACCCGAACTCTCTCCCCTCCCCCCAATCCCCGAGGACATCTACTCCTGCATCGTGCGGCATCTAATCGCCTTCCCCATCGCCCTGAAACAGCACCTCAAACGGAGCCGGCACCTCTGAGGGCTTACGAGGATCGGAGAAGTGTTCGTTAGATCGTCCCCAACATAGGTCTGCTAGAAAAGACGCCGAAATGCGGGATTTGGGCATTGGGGTCCTAGAGTTGATCCTGGGTCGAGGGTTTAGCGTTCAGGATCAATGAAGGGCTTTGGGGGTTGAGGGTTGGTACTGTAGCTTTGGGGTGTGCAGCTCCGCCCGAAGCCATTTGTTTGGCATCTGAAACCCGAGACATTTACCTCAGCATTGGCTTGCCCCAAAGCTCCTGAATCCAAAAGACATAACCCTAAAACTCGAAAGCCCTGAAACCCTGCGGAACCGCTTTAGTGCCTTTGCAGGAACCATGGATAGTACCCGCAATAAGGAGCCCTTCCCGAGCTCCGACTCCCAGAGGCAACACAACAGTAGCAAAGGTCGCTTTCTTTCACATGTGTACCCTACAGTTAGGGGTTTAGGGTTTAGGGTTTAGGGTTTAGGGTTTAGGGTTAGGGAGTACGATATTCGGGTTCAGGGTTGAGTCCCGAGACCCTATAACATCCACTCCAAAGGGTATAGGGTTTTGGGGCCCATTATGCTATGTTTATAAAAAGGAACCCCAAAATACCCCAAAAAAGTATAGATAATTATTAAGGCTCCTATAGTACTGCTTCGCAATCCTGTTCAAGCCCTAAACCCTAAACCCTAATCCCTAAACCCCAAACCCCAAACCCTAATCCCTCATCCCTACACCCTAAACCCT